CTGTAATAGACCTACATGAATAAAGATGTTTTGAATTTTGAATTTGAATTTGACAATACTGTTTCGTGTCTGTATGTAATATTATATGCAAATAATTTGCATGCTGTAAGCGATTTTATGCCGACTACACATATGTATTCATAGACAATATTCACATTCATAGACCATACAATCTTATCTAGTCTATGAATGTTAATAAATCTGTTGACATACTAGTTGAACTCGCGACTTATTTTGTTTTTAAGTATGAAAGTGGTGCGAGTGTCGGAGAGGTTGAAGAGTAATCGTCTGTCGTGGTATGGGCATGTAATGCGTAGGAATGAAGATAATATTTTAAGGAAGGTGTTACATATGAATGTGGATGGTTATAAGAGCAGAGGAAAACCAAAAAAGAGATGGATGGACTGTGTGAAATGATATGATAAGAAAGGGGGTAAATAACGAGATAACTGCGTACAGGGATGAATGTAAGAGAAAAACGTGTTACTGCGACTAGAATAGTGCTTTCTCTCAACCCTCCGATTGATCCATCCAATTCAAACGGGAATCGAAATTGCGACGGCCTGAGGTTCGAACCTCAAGCGGTGCCCTCAGACTGAAATCGTATCCGTCAGGCGGGAGTTGTCCTTCAGCCGCTCCATAAGTCCTTCCTTTGGTATGGAGTGCCATCTGCACTCGTCCCCTATCGTCCGGTGAAGCTGTAAAGGCCAGCTGCGGCCAACAGCATTAGAATAGTCCGAAAAAACTCTCCAACACAAACTCAATAACTCAAACTGCTTGGTTAAAATAAAGTGAGACTGAGGTACCCATTCAGACTTTTCTTTTTACAAAAGATACCACAATAAATTATAATTTTATAATTAATCCGAATTCATCGAGAAATTCTCGTTTCTAAATAAGTAACTAAAGATATTAAGCAACATAAAATACGGCTATGAAAAATTCTTACAAGTTTTTCTTGCAATCTTACGGAGGCTGTATGTGTGAATTCCTTTGTCGACCGCCCACGCCGCAGGTTCGAGCCGACTAAAAAAATAACAAGATGAAAAATTCTTGTCTATGGAGAGCGAATTGGAGCGAAACGACCGGACAATGGCGGCCAGTAAATATTGTATACAAAAGCGTATCTTAGATTAAAGTACTACCAAAATATGTATCATATCATACTTTAATATTTGAATTACTATAATATTAACTTTAATATTTTATTTTTATGTTTTGCTATTATTTATATATTTATTTTTCTCTGTGTAATTTTAGTTTGTAGTTACTAACTACTTGCTACATAACAAAATGGGCAGAAAGCCTGTAATAAATAAATATTATATTGACGACCTCGGTGGTTTAGCGGTCTAGCATACCGCTTTACGTCCGATGGTCGCGGGTTCGATTCCTCGCACGGCACAAACATTTGTATTCATGAGTATGATTGTTTGTATCGGTCTGGGTGTTTTCTATGTATAATAAGTATGTATTTACGAAAAAAAATATCTATGTACTTGTATCAGTTATCTAGTACTCATAACACAAGCTTTAGCTAGCTTAACTTGGGTCTAGATGGCGCTGTGTGAATTGTCCTGAGATTATTATTATTATTCTTTATTATTATTAATATTATAATGCTAATAGTAAGGGTTTTTTATATGTATAATATGTATGTATTTCCGAAAAAAATATATATCTATGTATTTGTATCAGTTGTCTAGTACCCATAACACAAGCTTTAGCTTAACTTGGGTCTAGATGGCGCTGTGTGAATTGTCCTGAAATTATTATTAATATTCATAATAATTTCAGGACAATTCACTTTTCTGGACAATTCGCTTAAGAGACTGTTTGTAAGCACAAATCTCCGTACATAATTTTACCTAGGTAGATTTGTTATATAGTTGTCTAAGTGGGAAACTCTGCCTCATATATCAGGTAACTAACAGGGTATAATGGACTGTCAGATAGACACGGTGTTGTGGTTTAAACCGCAGTTTATATATAGTGAAATACAGAAGTAAAATATGTATATAACTAGCTTTTGCCCGCGACTTCGCTCGCGTTAATTTATCCCCTTAGGGGTGGAATTTATCAAAATCCTTTCTTAGAGGATGTCTACGTCATAGTAGCTTTGTGCATGCAAAGTCTCAGCCTGATCGGTTTAAAATTGACAAAGTGTCATACAAACTTTCATCCCCTATTTTATCCCCTTGGGGGCAGAATTAATCAAAATCCTTCTTAGCAGATGCCTACGTCATAACACCTACCTGCATGCCAAATTACAGCCCGATCCGTCCAGTGGTTTGGGCTGTGCGTTGATAGATCACTATGTCAGTCAGTCACCTTTGAGTTATATATATTTAGATTGGTAAAAGTAAAAGACTCTTAATAGGTCAATAGCAAAATTTATAAACAATAAAAGGCACTGAATACACTACCTTTCTAAATATAAAATTCGAATCACAATATCTTCTACCTGACCGGTTAAAAATTTAATAACAAAAGTTTCATTACACTGGTCACTCGCACTAGAGTTCAGGGGTGAAATTTGGGGCCTCGAGGACCCTTTGTCCCAGCAACAACCCTGGATATCTGGATTATAAGTCACTTATGGCGGGTTACTTAAAAACTTAAGCTAGGGACATTCTCCAGAATAGCAAGGCGTGAGACGTGTCACATGATAAGGTGATCCGTAATGCTGCTCATGTCTTGACAACCTCGGTGGTCTAGCGGTTTGGAACACCGCTTTACTCCTCATGGTCGCGAGTTCGGTTCCTCGGTGGAAATTTGTATTCATGGGTATGATTGTTTGTATCTGTCTGGGCGTATTCTATATATATTATGTATGCATTTACAAAAGAAAATCTAAGGACTTATATCAGTTGTCTAGTAACCATAACGCAAGATTTGCTCACCGTGAGACTAGATGGCGCTGTGTTAATTGTTCAGGGTTATTTATTTATGCTGTTTATATAGTCGACAGTTACCACTTACCGTCATGTTGAACGTTCGCTTGTTTTCTTTTTTAATAAAAAACCGTTTCTGAGACTAGATGGCGCCCTCTCCGATTCATCCCCCGTCCAATTCAAAGGGGATCGCAATTACGACGGCCTGAGCCGATGTTAGTACCCCTAGCGGTGCCCTATATAAATGAAATTGGAGTGTCTGTTAGTAATATTGAAATAACCATTTTTTACTACATGTATGAATATAAATAGGGTACATACATCAAAATTAGGTTTTTTTACAATTTTTGTCTGTCTGTCTGTCTGTCTGTCTATCTGTATGTTTGTTCCGACTAATCTCTGAAACGGCTAGACGGGTTTTGACTAGACTTTTATTGGCAGGAAGCTAATGTATAAGGAGTAACTTAGGCTACTTTTATTTTAGAAAAATAATATAAAATCCACGCGGCCCAAGTCACGAGTACAGCTATACTAAATACATGCCGTTATTAGCTATAATAATATGCCGTTTCTGAGATGCGTCGCTAAACTTTCACACAGATTTCATGAAAAACAAAACCCTGTAGAGAATGTAGTCACGTTCATTAAAACGAAAAGGTAGCGGTTCAAAGTTGTAAACAAATTACATTGTTCTCAGAACTTGTGTATATAGAACCGACACAAAGATAATACAAATATGAACTCTATATATATACCTTTATGTACAGTTCATTATTATAATGTTACTAAATAAACAGCCCTCAAGCAGTGACAGCTCCGAGAATTCGTGTCTATGGTCCGTAGATCAAATTTCAGCCAGGCAACAACATTTTCAAGGTTTTTAAAATTATAGTAAATTATTCTTTATCCAAATCAATTTCATTATCGTCAAGGTTATTTTTAAAAATGGAATAAAAATATTGTTTATTCAAATTAATTTAAATACAGATCATAAAAGGTTTTTTAAAAATGGAATAAAAATATTATTTGTTTAAATTTATTTAATTATATATCATAAAGGTTATTTAAAAATGGAATAAAAATATTGTTTATTCAACTTAATTTAATTACATATCATAAAGGTTTTTTTAAGAATAGAATAAAAAGATTGTTTATTCAAATTAAATTAATTAACTGTCCAGGGTTTTTTTTAATGGATTAAAAATATTATTTATACATATTAATATAATTTACTAAAGGTATTTTATTTACCTTATATTATAAATGCGAAATAATTACAAATGTTTGTACCTTGCGTGGAATCGAACCCACGACCATCGGATAGTAAAGCGGTGTGCTAAACCACTGGACCACCGAGGCTGTCAAAATTGATTCAGTAGTTTTTGCGTGAAAGAGTAACAAACATCCATCCATACTCACAAACTTTCGCGTTTATTACATTAATAAAATATTTTTTATATTAAATTTTGAATATATATAACATAGTGAATGTTTTAGTTTTATTTTTATATTTATATATAAAAATAAAACTTCGACTTTACGTTAATTGCTCTATGGTAAAGGTTTTTAAAAAAAGAATCCAATAAAATAGAAATATTGTTTATTCAAATTAAGTTAATTAAATTCAAATCTGAGATTGTTATTCTTTTTTATTAAAACTTATTTGACAGCGTCGTGAGCTAGTGGTTTCTTAAACCGACACTCACCAATATGTCAGGAGTTCGAATCTGACTATTATAAGACAAGGTTTTGTGTACTTTATATTGAAGTCTGATTGATCCAGTAAAGGCATCATCGATAATACCCTTACCATATAATATATTCGACGACCACGGTAGTCTAACGGTCTAGCACACCGCTTTACGTCCAATGGTCGCGGGTTTGATTCCTCGCACGGCACAAACATTTGTATTCACGAGTATGATTGTTTGTATCGGTCTGGGTGTTTTCTATGTATAATATGTATGTATTTACGAAAATAAAAATATCTATGTATTTGTATCAGTTATCGAGTACCTATAACATAAGCTTTAGCTAGCTTAACTTGGGGCTTGATAGCGCTGTGCTAATTGTCCAAGGTTTTTTATGATTATTTATTTGTTTCAGGTGTCTGCGTGGGTGACAGAGCTGGTGCTCTCGCAGACTTCCTCCGAGGATCGGAAGGCGGCTCTCGCCTGCATCCTTCGTATAGCACTCACCTGTTGGAACATTGGCAACTTCAACGGCGCTATGGAGATCGTGGCCGGCCTCAAGTGAGTCCATACATCCTTACTAATATTACAGATGCGAAAGTAACTCTGTCTGTCTGTTTGTCTCGCTTTCACGCCGCAACCACTGAACCGATTTAAATTATTCATTCAGAACCGACCAGCCAGAATCATTGGTAATCAAGGTCTATGTGACAGACTCGACCCATTGGCTTTGCGGCGTGATATTACATCTTTGTGTATTTTCTACCGCATATATCACGGGGAGTTCTGAGGAATTGTTCGGATTAATACCAGCTGCTGAGTTTCACCACCGTACCACCCGCCAGAAACTGAAATACCATCCTGATCATCTGGATGAATGGCGGTCTTCCACAGTGCGGTTTTCTAGAAACTTTTTGCCTCGCACAACCACATTGTGGAATCACCTTCCAGCAATGGTATTTCCGAACTGATACGATATTGAAACCTTCAAGAAAAGAGCTTATTCCTTTTTAAAAGGCCGACAACGTACTTGCAAATTCCCTGGTGTTGCGGGTGCTCATGGGCGGCGGTAATCACTTACCATCAGGTGAACCGCATGCTCGTTTGTCCCCTATGTTATAAAAAAAAATTTAATTTGGTAAACTGAGAGTCTAGTTGCTGACAAAGGACATAACTACTTAATACGAAAAAGGGTTGTAAGGGGTTGAAAGGGGCGATGAAAGATTATATGGAAGTATCGTTATTTTACAGAGACGAAGTCAAGGACGCAGCTAGTAAATAATAATCTAATGAAACAATATATGAAAAGAATACGAGCTGAGTTTCTTGTCAGTTCTTCTCATCTCGAAATCATTCCGAACTGACGGTAGATTTGACATATCATAAGAGTCTGTAATAGACCTACATGAATAAAGATATTTATTTATATTGAATTGACTTCCCTGGTCATGGATTCAATTCCTCGCCCAATTCTCAAGAACGGCTGAACCGATTTCGTGAATTCTTTTTTTATAACATTCCTTGAAGTACAAGGATTTTTCGGAGAGAAAATTTAAAAAAATTGGCTGAATAAGTAATAATACTTAAAAGTAAATTTGAACTTTAATAAACAAGCCGAGAAATTCATAGATACAAAAATTCAAAAGACATATCATAAGAGTCTGTAATAGACCTACATGAATAAAGATATTTTGAATTTGAATTGAGTTCCCGATATTTCGGCAATGTTTCAACCGGGTTTCAAACGGGTAGACTGAATATCGGGAACTCAATAAAAATAAAACGTAAGATCTCGTGATTTACTAATTATACTCGTCTATAGACTGCGGTGACCGATTACCATCAAACAGATAAGATAATATTACATACAGATACCCAAAAAACTTTTGAATAGTCATAACAATTTTTTTTTATCTACCGCTCATTCGGAAAGCTGTCTCATCACAAGAAGAACGAACAAGAAACTTGTGTGTTGCTCTTTTAAATAATCCTTGTAAGTTCACATTTACACCAATACAAACAATTATAGACACGAAAAAAAATGTTTGCTCTGTGCGAGGAATCGAATCTGCATTCATTAATATATATGTACAATCGAACGAGATTACATGTTTGTTTTAGTTCCTAAGTGAGCCACTAGATGGCGTTGTTTAGTTTTATACTTTTTTCTACATCGCGCTATTTAGATTTTTTTTGGAACATATATAGTCTTTTAATAATTATTAATTACATAACATAACAACCACTGTGGAAAGATTTCCGTAGTTTAATTTATTTAACTACCCTGGTCAAAGTACACTCTTGAGGATCCGTGGATAAGATTATTCATTGTGGTCCTTCGAGCCGGATTCGGCAGGCATCCTAGTGGTGGTGCATTTTTTGGCACATGAGAACTACGGACAGTGGATTGCTGTTGCAAACGTAGTTACGAAGCAGAAGCATAATTTTTTATATGTATATGTATATGTAAATAAAAATGAATCTCTATTTCCCTCGGTCACGGCATCACGCATGAATGGCTGAACCGATTTTGCTAATTCTTTTTGTTGTGTTTGTTATTAGAAGGTTCTTATGTAAGAAACACTGAACAAAATTCCGCGGACATTTTAATGTTCTATTACGTATACCATTGGAAATTATATATGTATAGTTAAGACAAGACAATACGTCTGTTGCGTCAAATAGTGGTAAATAATTTAGTAAAGAAGAACAATATAGATACAGAAGAATATAAAAGAAGTTCAGAAGAGAGAAGAGAGAAGAATGTGTACACTCAGCAGGGGTTTCTTTCGGCCTTCAGCTGTTTTGGAGTCTGTAGGCCGGCGGAAACTACTTGCTGGGTCTGCATTAAATCAACCGGAAGACGGAAATGAAGAGAAATGAAAATATTTATTTGCGAAAATTGGTACAGTGGTAAGTTGGTACGTAAACGATTTATTGATAAGCAATATTTACGACAGGCATGCAAATTATACGAAAGCAATAATTAATTAAAGAAGGCATTAAAAAATTTCATTCAGCATTAAATAATTTTAAAAAGCATTAAGTATTTAAATAAAGCATTGATTAATGAGAAAGCTTTTGTATGTAGTTTGTATTCACACATTTCAAATTAAAAATGTAAAGTAACAATAAAATTATTAAAAGAGAAACACGCAAGTTTCATGCTCATTCTTCTTGTGATGATACAGTTTCCAAATGAGCGGTAGATTAAAAAAATAACTATGTGTTACTATTCAAAAGTTTTTAAATTAAGTTTATTTGAAAAAACGATTTTCTGTTCTATTCTATTAAAAAAAATTTACAGCATCGGCTGTCTAGCGGTTTAGCACACTGCTTTACTTCCGATGGTCTCGGGTTCGACTCCTCGCACGGTGCAAAGCATTTGTATTCATGTGTATGAATGTTTGTATCGGTCTGGGTGTTTTCTATATATATTATGTATGTTACAAAAGTTATCTAGTACCCATGATAGAAAATCTGCTTAGCTTGGAACTAGATGGCGCTGTGAGAATTGTCCTGGATATAGAGCTATTTTGCTTTGAGCTGGTAATTGTGCCTAGAGATGTGTTAACTCGAGTTGCGCATAATTCGAGTTAAATCGAGTTGAATTCTGCCAACTCGAGTTGGAAGTATTCAACTGGTAAATGAATGAATCAAGTGAAAGAGCGAGAGCATGATTCTGTGATCGAACTAACAATGACATGAAATTTTCCGATCATTTCATATCTTAGAATTTTCACTCGTCACAAATATTTCAGTATTGATTTGAGGTTGTTATCATTTTTTTTCGCACATTCGTCCTATTATGTTATCATTAAAATGATTATATGCGTTCTATAAGTCCTTCCGCGGCTTTAAAGTGCCATTTCTACTCGTACCCTATAGTTCAGTGAAGCTTTCAAGGCTAGTTGCGCCCAAAAACATTAGAATTGTTCGATATATTTTTTATTTTTTTTATTCTAGGTGACTCGAGTCAACTCGAGTTAACTCGAGTCATGTTTATTACGAGTTGGCACATCTCTAATTGTGCCGATATTATTTTATTTATTTATTTAATTAACACACACACATACACATCTAAACTTACAGCTAATTGCAAACACGTTTATATGTTAAAACTACAAAAACTTACATATTATGGAAGGCAAGGGTTCTGTGTATACGTTAGCATCTTGGACCTTACCTAAAAATGATTTTAATAGATGCAATGCTCTCATAGTGGGAGATTATTAGAGTGGCTTGTGAGAAAGATTTTTCCCGTTTAATATACATTATTTAAATTATTAACCGGGTCTTAACACGAATCATTTTATGGCAAATAAAGGTATTTACCTCTCTCGATGTTTCGACTAGGTTGCAATAACCGTGGTCACGAGCTGACAGATCGCTCTCGCTGGTAAGGTAAATTTATTTGCCATAAAATTATTCGTGTTAAGACCCGGTTAATAATTTAAATAATGATTTTTCCCGTCCAACCGGGTGCATCCAGGAACTACCGATCTAGCTATCATATCCGAGCTTAGTTTATTATTTTCATTCATTCAAAATTTAAGAGCTACGCTCTTGTCGGTGGAGCTCTTGCCACTTTCCGCGATCTTCCATCATCCTCTTTAATTCTTGATACGACACGACTCCCATTTTGTCCTCAGTTTGTTTGATGTAGCTATTCCTTTGTCTTCCCTCCCCTCTTTCCTTCTATTTTCCCCTCAATAATAATTTTCATGAAATCATCGTGCCGTATCAAGTGCCCTAACATTTTTCCTCGTCTATTTTCTATGGTGTTCAATATTTGTCTTTTTCTTTTACCCTGTGTAGTACTTCTTCGTTTCTTACTTTATCCTTCCAGCTAATTCTTTCCATCCTCCTCCAACACCACATTTCAGAAGCCTCCAGTTTGTCTCTTTCCTTTTGATTTAATGTCCACGTCTCACACGCATACAAGGCTATACTCCAGATATAGGTTTTAATAAATCGTTTCCGTGAGGTCTTTGATATTTTAGCGCGTAAAAGGTATTTTTTGTTGTTAAATGCTTTTTTTGCCATGGCTATTTGATGTATTTTTTAGCCACACTGCATTGATCGTAGGAAAAGGGAATTAAGGAACTCACCCAAATTGCACAAATTATAATATTGATGATCTGCGTCGGCGACTTGAAGCACTTGAAGTTTTCAGTTACAATACACCACACTCGCGACACAAATACAGTTTGTTATAATATTTAAGGAGCTCCTTGATTAATTAAAATTGATGCATGCGGTGGTTGTTTCACTTGTTAGATGGCGGCGAATAATGAATTGTCCATATTGTGCCGGGGAAAGCGCATTCAAACAAAAAAAGCAGTGTGGCAGCTTTATTATCAGTATAGATTATTATTATTATTTTCTTTTTTTTTTTATGGATTTAGAAGACGCGCGAACACTATTCTTGTTATAATATGTGTGTTTTTTTATCATAATCAAATTCAAAAATCATTTATTCAGGTAGGACATATTAGACGCTTATGAACTTATTGTGTTTTTTTATAATTTCATACATAGCTAGCTATGGCCGCGACTTC